TTCAACATGCGGCTCGTCATGAGACTGCATTTGGGTGCTGCGATTTGAATTTTGTGGCAGAGCTGCGCAGCAACCTCATTATAGCAGTATACACATTACTAACTAAACTTCATGATAAGGAAAAACCATTCCCTTACACCCTCCCCCCTCCAAGGTATGGTCTTAGCTAAGACCGCCTACGGGTTGATATTCCAGATCGGCCACACTGTTCCTAGGTGTCCGCTGAACATTGGCAATGACATTGGTCTCAATGTCCGCAGTAGTGAGGGCGTGGTTTTGGGACGATGGGCAGTTGAAGGTTCTGTGTGCTCAGTAGTGCTAAGTCTCCAGCCTGGTAAGTCACTGCTCATTTGTGTACATCAACGTTACGCTTAGAAATTACGTCCGCGCGCTTAATGGCTTCTGCTGCTCGCTCCCCGACATTCTGTACAATTTTGGCAAACTGTTGGGCTCGGGGTATAGGGTTGTCGACGTTTGGCGTGATGGGTATTGTAGGGTTTTCTCCATAATTCATGTAGAATGGTGACTGTCGGGTAGTGGCTGACGAGGCATTGTTACACACGAACTCAATAAGTGACAGTTGCTGCTCCCAGTCGGCCATGTCATCGCATGTGGTGCGAATCAGCTGCTCCATCCTCTGATTGGCTCGCTCGATCTGTCCATCAGTTTTTGGGTGATAAGCGGAGGAGAACTGTAGGCGCGTGCCAAACTGGTCCCACAGATTATGCCAGAAATTGATGGTAAATTTTGTATCACGATCGGAAATGATGGCAAATGGGATTCCGTGGAGGCGAACGGCGGTCGAGATGAAAAGGCGGGCTATTTCTTTAGTCGAGATGCATTTCTTGCAGGCGGCAAAATGAGCCATCTTCGTAAGCTTATCGACGACGACAAATATCGCGTCATTGTAGCCGTCCTTGGCAGGCAATTATGTGACGAAATCCATCGTCACCTGCAGCCACACACGCTCAGGTGGTGGAATTGGCTGCAAATGTCCAGCTGGCTTCTGCTTCGATGACTTCATGGTCTGGCAGGTCCCGCACGATACCACATGCCACAGCACGTCCCCTTGCACGTCAGACCAGAAACAATATATGGTCAATTATTGCTATGTTTTCTCTACTCCAAATTGCCCTTAAACTGTACTGTCATGGGCTTCCTGTACTAATAACTCCCGTAATAGGCTGTACTCTGGTACCCAGATGCGGTCAGTTTCTGTCTTGACATAATAGAATCCCTTAGCCTTTGCAAGCTGTTCATATGCACCCGATGTTAAGACTGTGTCCGTCTGGTACTCGTTGGTAAATAGGGCTGTTAAAGCGAGGATATCAAGAAGCAGAAAACCAAAACCAAAGGGTTTGGTTTTGGGGGGTAGCGAAAATCGCGAGGTGTGGTGGGGGGTGTTGGAGGCCTCGGTTACTGTTTCGCTTATTTCGTCACCCCGAAACCAAACCTTTTGGATTTGGTTTCGTGCTTCTTGAGATCCTCGCTTTAAGAGTGGGGAAGTTTGGGCGAGGATGATTGAGTTGAGATGGGCGGATGGGCGAGAAAGGGGGTCTGCAATGTTCGATGCCCCTTTTTTGTAGGTGAAATTATAGTGGACATCGGATTCCATAAAATCCAACCACCGAATCTGTCGAGGGTTGAACATTGGCTATGCACGAATGTACTGTAGTCTATGATGGCCTGTTCGTATTGTCACGTCCGTGGCTATCAGGTAGCACCGCCCTTTGATGGTGTGCACGATCGCGAGCATCTTCTTATCATGTATCGGATAATTTTGCTCAGGCAGGTGTAACTTTCGTGACTCGTACACAATTGGTTGCAGACCTTCGCCAAAGTCCTGTAACAGTACTGCCGGCGATGTTGTTGGCGTCAGTGATGACTTCGAATGGACGGTGGGGATCGGTGATGCGAAGGACATGGGGTGAGCACTGAAAAGTTTTGAGCGCAGAGAAGGCAGCTTGCTCTTTCTCCCCCCACCAAGTGTATACTCAGTCCCTTTCTGCAGCAGGTTGGTCAACGGTGCAGTTAGCCCCGCCATGTTCGGGATAAATCTCCGAACAGAACTTATGAAGCCTAAAAAACTTTGCTGCTCCTGCAGGTTCGTAGGTGGTAGCTAGGCTTGCACGGTCTCGATCTTGCGCAGGTCTAGTTTGGCGCCCTTAGTGGAGATGACGTGGCCTAATAACTCTAACCTATCATGTAAGAACTAGCACTTAGACCCCTTTATGAGCAGCCGATGCTCCTACAGTAGCATGAAAACTGCTTCGAGGTCCTTGAGGTTCTGCTCCCAAGTCTCACTGTAAATCAGTATGCCGTCTATATAAACTACAGTATAGCACTCATCTATGAGCGAACTGAAAATCTGGTTCATGGTAATTTGAAATGTCGTCGGGGCGTTTGTGAGTCTGAAGGGCATAACTACATACTCAAAACTCCTTGTACCTAGTACAAAACGCGGTCTTGTGTCAGTCAGCTGCGACTACGCAAATCTGGTGGTAGCCCCTTCGTAAATCTATTTTCGAGAAGAAGCGAGCTTTGCGAACTTGATCGATCAGTTCGCCAGCGTGAGGGATGGGATAACGTGACTTGATCGTCACCTTGTACAGTGCTCGGTAATCGATGCACATGCGGTAACCGCCGTCCTTCTTGGGGGTGAACATTATGGGGGCGGCAAATGGGGAGGAGCTCGAGCGGATGGTTTTTTTCTCAAGTAAGTATTCCAGCTGCTTCCGTAATTCCTCTCACACCGGCTGTGTCAGTCGAAATTGTCGCTGGACTGTGGGTTGTGTCCCTGGTTCCAGTTCGATTCTATGGTCGAAGGGTTGTTCCGGTGGTAATCCCTCGGACAGGTCGTTTGGAAATATCTGCGGAAATCTGCGAATCAGTTGCGCGAGGTCGGTCGGCACTGCTGCTGTCCGCTTCTCTAAATCAGACGGCTGCGATGCCACGTCAATCTCACGAACGACTATAGCGAAGACTTTTGCTCCCTGCGTGTCCGCTCTTTTTATCGCCATGGAGTTCACCTACATCACTCCCCCTATGATCCCCCTCATCCATTCAGGTAACACTACACTACGGTCGTTGATTTTGACAGAACAGCTGCTGGTCGTCCAATCTATCATGGGGTTGAAGTGTCGCAGCCAATCCCGTCCCAGCAGCATGTGAAAGCTGTCAAGTGTAGTTGCTAGCAACTTACCAGTCAGGTCCACAAGTTACCCTAATGTTCTCCGCCCGGTCTTTTATTGCTAGTGGGGTCTCGTCGACTCGTTGGGCGTCGATCTCCGGTAGACACCTATCTAAAGGTAACTTCATTTTTTGGCCGTGGCGAGGTCGAATTCCCTTGATGTATTTGTCGATTTTTTGTCAGGGTGAATGTAACCGACCTGGTCCCATAGGTTCTTGAACCTGCTAGTGCAGTCTTAGACCGATCCGAGTGGGAGCCATGTGTATCGGCGGTCGCACGCTTGACTGCTTTCGTTGACATGTTCAAAGCGGCGACGAATTCCCGCGCACCACGATCACGTGCTGTACTCGTCCACCTCGCAAAAACTTCATGCACAATCATTGTTTGTGCGAAAACGCCCGATTACGCAGGACTTTGTATCCGGCTTCTGCGACTGTATTATCTGCTGCCACCAAAGCATCGCCAATCCACGTAGGAGGGAAACGGCGCATCGGATCTTCAGCGAATCGTCAACGACGAGGTTGCTGTCGTAAATAACGTTCAGATGGAAAGTCCATCCGCTGACAGACAAACTATCACGCTGGCTTGGATCGAACGTGGGCGGCCTCTGTATCTTGATTATTCCCGGCGCCATGTTGATACTTGCAGTTTGCAGGCCGGTGGGAGAGGTAACTGGGGGCAGAAGGTTGACGTTCGCCCCTTCGCCAACTTCCATTCGTCCAATGACCGGTGGCGGGTTTTTCGTCGAATATCGGGTGAAGCTGCATGCGGTCGCTGATTGTCGCCAAGTATTTTGGAACGCTGCTGAGTTATTTGCTCCTGTTGTCCTTGGTTTGTCGTTGGCGGGATCGTGTGGTGTCATGTCTGCATGCTGTTCAGGGGAGAATGGGAGCATAGGAGCATGGGAGTTGGGGAGCATGGGAGAATGGGAGCATGGGAGCACGGGCCCATGGGAGCATGGGCGCATGGGAGCATGGGAGCATGGGAGCATGCGAGAAGGGGAGCATGGGAGCATGCGTGCATGGGAGCATGGGAGCATGGGGAGCCCAAGAGCATGGGGAGCGTGGGAGCATGGGAGCATGGGAGCATGGGAGCATGGGAGCATTGGAGCATGGGAGCATGGGAGCATGGGGAGCACGAGAGCATGGGGAGCATGGGAGGATGGGAGCATGGGAGCAGGGGAGCAGGGGAGCATGGGAGCATGGTGCTGCATGCGAGCATGGGAGCATGGGAGCATGCCTGCATGGAGCATGGGGAGCATGAGAGCATGGGGAGCATGGGAGCATGGGAGCATGGGAGGATGGGAGCATGGGAGCAGGGGAGCGTGGGAGCATGGGAGCATTGGCAGCATGCGAGCAGGGGAGCATGGGAGCATGCGTGCAGGGGAGCATGGGAGCATGGGGAGCACGTGAGCATGGGAGCATTGGAGCAGGGGAGCAGGGGAGCATGGCAGCATGGGAGCATGGGAGCAAGGGAGCATGGGAGCATGGGAGTATGGGAGCATGGGAGCATGGGAGCATGGGAGGGTGGCCGTATGGTGAGGGGGAGGAGACCACACTCAGACGGGAGGGGACCAGCGGGGGAGAGGAGGATGACAGCAAGGGGGAAGGAGCGTGACAGGAGGGGGAGTGGGGGGATTGGGAGACAGGTGGCGAAAAGGAGGGTCGCTGGAGGCGGAATGGAGGGTGGGATGAGGGATGGAGGATGGCCGTATGGGGAATGGAGGAAGGCTGTATGGGGAGGGGTATGGTCAGGTCATGTGTTGGGGTTTAGGGTGCTACTTGCACCGTGTGGAGGTAACAAAAGCCATGATATTAGCTGCTATTTATAAACAATCATATACCATACCGGAAACATGGAAACAGCATGCAGAATGATGTTGATCCGTTTTTGTCATGTTCTAGAGGCCCACCAACCATGAGCTAGCAGCACCACCATGCACAGATGCATCCTCGACTAGAACCCCTAAAAAAGGGACGCATGAAACTGCCGAGAGTTCCCATTAGCCACACACATTGCCTGCCCTGCCCTGGCAGCGAAGTCTACACGGTAGAGTCAGTACAAACAGATGCAACCTATCCAACTGCCTAACGCCATGAGCCACGAGAGTGGCCCCATGACACACATGATGCCAAGCCCCCCTCGCCCATGTCTATGGATTGTGCACCCAACCGCCTGCACGATCCCTTGAATCTTAGTGTTTGCAATGGCCAGCAACTCGAAAGCGGTCAGCTGGCGGAAACCTTCCCCAAACACCAAGAACGGCGGATGTGACATGTCCCCCAAGAATTTCCCACGACTGGTTGACAGAATCCACAGACAGGGAGGGGCTGAGATGTGCCGTCGCATGGAAACCTGCCACAAGGACACCAAGCAAACTCGCACAACCTGGTTGATCAGCCGCAAGGACCACACAGCATGGGCAGCATGGAACAAACCCCAGCAAGAAGCCAAGGGGAGAGAGGTGGCAGCAGTTTTCCACCTCTTCGCTTACCCCCTCACAGTTTCCCCCCTATCTGCTCACCCCCTCCCTGCTCTCCACCTCCTAACTCACCCACTCTCACCTTTCCGACCCTCTGCCTTCCCCCTATCAGCTTTCCTCCGCTCACCTATCCCACACTTAGCTTACCCCCTCTCAGCAAGGCCCTGGGCAGTTTTCCCCCTCCTAAACTTTGCCCCTCCTTAGACTACCCCCTCCAAGCTTACCCCCACTCACCGTTCCCCCACTCGGCGGACCCTGCCTCAGCTTTCTCCCACACATCTTCCCCCCTCGCAGCTTTCCCCCTCACAGCTTTCCCCCACACAGCTATCCCCCTCACAGCTTCCCCCTCACAGCTTCCCCCTCACAGCTTCCCCCTCGCAGCTTTCCCCCTCGCAGTTTTCCCCTCACAGCTTGCCCCCTCACAGTTTTCCCCCTCTCGATTTTCCCCCACACATCTTTCCCCCTCACAGCTTTCCCCCTCTCAGCTTCCCTTCCCCCCACCCCCAGCTTACGCTCACTCAGCTTTTCCCCTCTCAGCTCTCCCCCAAACAGCGCTCCCCTCTCAGATTTCTCCCTCTCAGCAAACCCCCTCGCAGCTTTCTCCCTCTCAGCTTTCCCAATCTTAGCTTTGCCCCTCCCTTCTGCCCCCCACGTTGTTTCTCCCACCAAGCGTTCCCCCTCTTAGCATTCCCCCTCTCTGCTCGCCCCCTCCCAGCTTTCCCCCTGTCTCAGCTTTCTCCCTCTCAGCTCCCCCCCTCTCGGCTATCTCCCGCTTCCCCCCTCACAGCTTCCCCCCTGACTCACCTCCCTGCTGCCCATTCTGTCACCTCTCAGCTTCCCCTCTATCTCATCTCCCGGCTGCCCATTATGTCACCTATCGGCTTCTGCCTTTACTCACCTCCCAGCAGCCACTTTGACTCTCCTCTCGGCTCCCCCCCTAACTAACCTCCCGGCTGCACTTTGACTCTCTTCTCGGCGTCCTCCCTAAGTCACTTCCCAGCTGCCCATTGCGACACCTCTCGGCTTCCCCCTGTACCCACCTCCTGGCTGCTCATTGTGCCACCTCTCGGCTTCCCCCCTAACTCTCCGTCCTGCTACCCATTGTGTCGCCTCTCGGCTTCCCCCCTTACCCACCTCCTGGCTGCTCATTATGCCACCTCTCGGCTCTCCCCTTCCTGTCCTCTCGGCTCTCCCCTTCCTGTCCTCTCGGCTCTCCCCTTCCTGTCCTCTCGGCTCTCCCCTTCCTCTCCTCTCAGCTCTCCCCTTCCTCTCCTCTCTGCTCTCCCCTTCCTCTCCTCTCTGCTCTCCCCTTCCTCTCCTCTCGGATCTCCACGTCCTCTCCTCCTGGCTCTCCCCTTCCTCTCCTCCCCTCTCCCCTACCTCTCCTCTCTGCTCTCCCCTACCTCTCCTCTCAGCTCTCACCTGCTATCCCCCTCTCGGATCTCCCCGTCCTCTCCTCCTGGCTCTCCCCTTCATCTCCTCTCCCCTCTCCCCTTCCTCTCCTCTCGGCTCTCCCTTCTCCTCTCTGCTCTCCCCTTCCTTTCCTCTCGGCTCTCCCCTGCTATCCCCCTCTCTGCTCTCCCCTTCCTCTCCTCTCCTCTCGGCTCTCCCCTTCCTCTCCTCTCGGCTCTCCCCTTCCTCTCCTCTCGGCTCTCCCCTTTGTCTCTCCTCCCTTATCTCACCTCCAAGTTGCGTCTGGCCTTTTCACCTCCCAGCTGCTACACCGCGGCGCGCGGTTTTCCGTTCTGTTCTTTGGACGTCGTTTCACGGTAATGTGGCGTAACGACGCGCGGCTTGCTCTGGCGTTGGGGCTCCGCGTGCGTCGCTTGTTGGAGCGTGCACGTTTCGCGGGTGCAGCGCATGGATACCCCACATTCTCGCGTCGCGCTAGTATCCGCTCTCCCCCGGTGAGCGTCTCGCCTTTCTCGTGGTTTTTTTTTCTCGATCCTCCTTTCGTGCGCTACCCTTGCCGTCTCTTTTGCCCGGCATGTTAGTGCACCCCGGGACTATATCCTCACCTGTCTCCTGCCGGGTTTTGTCGCTTGCGGGCCATGAGCTGGCACCGCTCTAATGCGCGCTGTCCGCATGGACTCGCGTCGCGCTGCCCTCCCGCAGCATTTTCCGCGGCTGTCGAGTTTACTGCGCGCCGAAAATGTCGTCTCTCTTCGTATGCCGCTATTCCTGGTTCTACTGCTGTCTAATGCCGCTTAGTTGCGGGCAACATTGCCGTTCTCTGCTGCAGAGTTGCGTGGTGGCATTTTGCGCTCAGCAGAAGCCACCTTGCCTTCCATTAGTTCCCTTATGCCAGTGCAAGTGTTGCTGTTCTGAGCCGTTCTTGACCCTGTGTTTTGTTGCTCAGGGAATGTTTCATGTAGGTTGAACAGCAAGACATCGTGGCTCGACATCAATTCACCGCTTTTGAATATGTCCAAACATTCTTCATCGTGCGGAAACGCACTGTACCCCGTCGGGACGTTGGGTGACCCTGTGTTTTTATCACACATGATACACGCCCTTACTGTGCTTGGTTGCTTATCCATCGCCTCTCTGCTGGGCCTGATGTTGTTGGGTCCTCCCCCCACCCCCCCGGTGTGTTGCGCCCCCCTTCTTCCCTGTTTCCGCTCATGTACTCCCCCTACCTTTTTGTCTTTTTTGAACTTGGTTGTGCCATCGCGGAAATTCCACGTTCTGATTGGTTGTGTTGTTCCTGCGTTTCGTCTTCTCGTCGCGTGGGGATTTGTGATGTTCTCTCGCCACCTTGAGCCTGTGCTCCACACACCCTTCCTCGATGCCTTGCCCAACGTTTTGCCATGTCAAGTGTATTAATCTTGTACGTTTTGGGTCAGCAGCTTTAAGTACTGCTCCCGTGTCATGCTAAATCAATGTGTCGTCCAGATAAATGATCACGCATTTATCAAGTCAGTCCCATAATACCCCGATCATCGTCAGTTGGAACGTCGAGGGGGCATTTGTTAACCCGAACAGCATGCCGGTGTATTCGTAACTCCCGTAGCGAGTACGAAACGCGGTCTTGTGACATTCGCCAGCGAAGACTCGAATCTGATGGTAACCGAAGGTCGATCTCCGAGAAGTGGCGAGCGCCTCGCAGCTGGTCAACCAGTTCGTCCGCGTAGGGGATTGGGTAGCAAGTTTTATTGTAACCCGATTAAGGGCGCGGTAATCAATGCACATTCGGAAACCCCCATCTTTCTTGGTTGTGAACAGGATCGGGACGGCGAATGGGGACATGCTCGGGTGAACGAACCCTTTTGCCAGCAAGTAGTCCAGCTGGTCCCGTAATTCTTGGAGCTCGGGTTGCGTCAACCGCCACTGTGTCCGAACAGTTGGCTGCGCGCCAGGTTCCAGCTCGATCCGATGGCCCTGAGGGCGTTCCAGTGGCAATCCAGGTGGCAAGTCGTCCGAAAAAATATATGGGAACTGGCGAATCAGCTTCGCCGGATCCTCAGGGACTGCTGCGCAGAGTAAGTTGATGTCGGTCGGTTGATCATCGCCTGTTGATTCCTTCAGATGGACGGCGTACAATTCCGCATCTTTCTTGATTGCGCGTGTTAGTATAACTGCGTGGACGCGTGTCGTTATCGGCTCTGCCTCCCGCCAACTCGGAAGTTTCTACCAACCATTTGCATACTTTATTGTGCACTCATCTGTCGTCCAATCGATTTGCGGGTTGTGACGCCGAAGCCAATCTCGTCCCAGCAGCACATTGTAGCCGCCGAGGGTCGTCACCAGCATCGGCGCACTGAAACCGAAATTGTCGCCACACTTCAAGCGATTGTTCACACTCGATCGCGTATCGCCAACGGGGTGCCGTCGACCAATCTGGCATCGATCTCGGGCAGGCACCGCTCCAAAGGTAAGTCTAATATTTTAGTCGTCGGTCCGTGAATCAGGGTGTGGCTCGCACCACCATCTATGAATATGTTTTTTCCTTTCCCATTAACCCTTCCTTCTACCAGCACAGGGTGATCCATAGGTTCATCCCCGTTATTCGTTCGAGAGCGGTCGATAGCATGTACCGGTACCACTATTCGGTGGGAATGCTGTTTCTCGGGCGATGCAGCCATGTTAGTAGAGAGCACGTTTGCTACTGACGAGAATCTTTTCCCGGCGTATCCCCATCGTTGTTCTTCCTCTGCTACCAGTCAGGGCAGTAAGCATATCGGTGACCCAGCTAGTGGCAGTGAAAACACCGTCACTTTCTGCGATCCTCAACATCTGCCACTATGCCATTGATTGAGGGTCGTTGACCCTGGCCACAAAAACTATTTCCCTCCTGGGAACCTGATCTTGCATATTCATTATTGGCATCGTACAAGTCGGCGATTACCACTGCCTCCTGGAACATTGCTGGGCGTCGCATCTTAACTTCGTAGCGAACGCCCGACTTGAGCCTAGTGATGAACCTGGATATTTTCTTAGCATCTGATAGGTCGGTGATTTGATCGCACAAGGCCTGGAATGATGACGCGTAATCCTGGACAGAGGTCAACTAGCGCAAGGTGTCCAGCTTCGTGCGTGCGTTGTCCGAGGCGGATATGGGCTCGAAACGTGCACGCAGAGCTGTACCCCAAGTTTCACGCGATCCGAAAATTGACGTTGCGTCCCGTGCAGCAGATTTTGAACTCCCAAAAGACCCCTGAGTATTCCCTGCCAAACTCCCTGTCGCACTTAGCGTCGAGCGCCACCAATCCAGTGCAGGTCCCCTCAGTAGCAAAATAGCTAGTTTGATTTATAAATCATGAACAGTAATCCCGTCAACATCAAAATAATGCTCCATCGCAAAAAGTCAGCCCGTCATGGTGGTGTTTTTGTCCATTGGGTTAAACGGGGGAGGCATCCGCGGCTTAATCTTGGCCACTAGTATGATTGGCGTGGCGGCGGCTGCTGGAGAAACTAATGCTGCTGCTTTGGAGCGGGCGGCGGCCGTTGTCGAAGCTGCTGCAGCTGCCGTGGCACGTGCGGCGGCATTCGTTGCTGCTGCAGCTTCATCATCACGGCCCTCCTGCGACACTTCGCATGCGATTTCATTCGGTACTGTCTCGACACGTCCAGCGCTGGCGGCATCCTCGAGGGTGGGCGACTTTTGGCGCGTATTTTCTTGCACGTGGCGAAGCTCGGTAACTTCAGCGCGAGGCTTCTCATTGTCGTTTAGCACAGCTTGCAAGCGAGGGTCCGTGGCAGCCAATTTCGCAACAACTCGTCAAATTGTGCCTGGTCCATGTGGCGGACACTACGCCAGGTGGGCAGGGGAATATCCGTGATTACGCGAGCTCAGGTAAGAGCTCAAATGCTATCATAGTCGGGTGAATTGATTCGGGGCCGACCGCTTTGCAGCTCAGTGAGCGAATCATCCCCCCCCACCTTCGAAAAAAAAAAAATTCCGCCTACGGAAGCGGGGGTAGGTCAGGAAAGTAGCTATGGTAACCAGATTTTATGGGTGTTTAACCAGAGTAGCGCGGAAATCGGATGTTGAGGTTCAGAATAATAGAATGTGGTACAATGGAATAACAATGCAAGACATAGGAACACCGGAGCGATCCTAGCCGCATAATTGAACAGGTTCGGAGAAGGCATCCGAGGATGTGGAGCGTTTCGGGATGACGCGGAAGTGGTTTGGTGTGACGCGTGCGGGCCGAAGCTAGGACCGAGCTTGGTGCGGTGTAGGGGCGGTGTACGCGGTAGCGGTGTAGCGCGCTAAGGAGTGGAAAATTCCTTAGATTAAAAAGCATGCATGTTACAGCAACAATTGTGCATAATGTTATGTGTGTTTAATCAGAGTAGCACGGAATCGAATGTTGAGGTTCAGAATAACAGAATGTGGTACAATGGAATGACGAAGCAAGATATTGGAACACCGTAGCAATCCTAGCCGCGTGATCGAACAGGTTCGTAGAAGGCATCCGTGGACGCGTAAATGGTTTGGTGCCGTGTTTGGGCCGAAGCTATGGCAGGTGTCGGTGCCGTGTGGGGTTGGTGTACACGGTTGCGGTGTGGCGCGGTAAGGCATGGAAAATTCCTTACACTACCCCCCCTATGGCGAAGGTGGTCTATATTTGCGACGTGCTTGCGGGATAAATCATCCCAGAGTACAGTAGGTGACTGTACTTGTACCGAGGGAACCCACGTGTCATCCTCGCTGGTACGATGAGTCCATCGTATCAGAAAGACAACGTATCATTCCTGACCGTTGATTCGTACGTGATGGCTCACGATCTTGGCTAGCAGAGTTGGGCGGTCACTGGCGTTATCATCTTGATGATTGTGAATGGTCCAGAGTAGCGGGGTCGGAGTTTTGGCAGTATCTGCAGCCGAAGGTTTTTTGTGTCAAGGAGGACTAGTTTCCCTGCAGTCAAGGTAATACCTCGTCTGTGGCGGTCGGTGTCAATCAGTTCGTCCGCAAGAGGGATTGGGTAGCAGGACTTTATCGTAACCGCCATAGTCAATGCACATTCAGAGGCCCCCATCCTTCTTGGGTGTGAACAAGACCGGGGCGGCGAACGGGGATGTAGTCGGTCGAACGAACCCTTTGGCCAGCAGATAATCCAACTGGAGCTCGGGCCTTGTCAGCCGCCACTGTGTCTGGACTGTTGGTTGCGCGCCAGGTTCCAGTTCGATTCGATGGTCCTGAGGTCGTTTTGGTGGTAGGCCAGGTGGTAGGTCGTTCAGAAAAATATATGGGAACTGACGAATCAGTTTTGCCAGATCTTCGGGGACCGCTACGTGGAGCTTATCGATGTCGGTCGGTTGATCATTGTCCATCGTTTCCTTCAGATGGACGGCGTACAATTCCGCGCCTTTCCTAACCGCGCGTGTCAGCGTGATGGCATTGATGTGTGTCGTTATCGGCTCTGCTCCTCGCCATTTTGGCAGTATCTGCCGACCATTCGCACCCTTGACTGTGCGTTCAGTTGTCCTCCAATCGATCTGCGAGTTGTGTCGCCAAGCCAATCTCGTCGCAGCAGCACATCGTAGCCGTCGAGTGTCGTCGCCAGTATCGGCGCGCTGAAACCGAAATTGTCACCACACTTCATGCGAACAGTTCGCAGCGATCGCGTATCGCCAACGGGGTGCCATCGACCAATCGGACATCCATCTCGGGCAGACACCGCTCCAGGAGTAAGTTTTTTTTTTTCGCCGTCGGTCGATGAATCAGGCTGTGGCTCGCGCCACCATCGATGAAGATTTTCATTTTTTTTTTCGTTAAAGCCCAAGTCCCGAATTAGTCAGGCATGCATCAAACTGGGCCCAGTTTGATGCTGACCGTGCTCGCGAACTACCCAAGA